TTTGGACATCTCATGAGAAGAGAAGACTCCTTGGACAAGACCTTGATGTTAGGAAAGTGTGACGGCAAGAGGAGAAGGGGATGACAGAGGATGAGATGGCTGGACAGTGTCTGCGAAGCAACCAACATGAATTTGACACGACTACAGGAGGCAGTGGAAGATAGGAGGGCCTGGCGTGCTCTGGTCCATGGGGTCACGAAGAGTCAGACACGACTAAACGACGACGAAACAAAGGTGATCTAAATGCAAAAAAGAAAAAAGGCCTAAGGCTCAACATAGAAGCAATTTTGTACAGTATATTGGAATAATTCTTCCGATGAGATCCTATACATGACATTCACTTTTTTTTCATTTTCTGTTCCTTTACTGTGGGATTTTTTTACTTTCCACCAATTATAAAATAAATTCCAGCTTAAATAAAAAGATGATTCTTGTTGTCCCTTTAGTCTTTTAGTTAATCTATCCATTTCTGCACTTTCTAATATTTTTGTAATGATCATATCATCATTTGGTGGATTTTCATCTTTCCAAACCTGTGCCCAAAATAACCAAGCAGCTGTCAAAACATGTAGTATTAAATAATAGCTTGTATGTCCTAGAGTAATGCTTGTACTTAATGGGACAATATATAAATCTATCAAACCAACAAATAAATTATATTGGATCACCATAGCTAAATGTGATTGAGAAGATCTTCTGGTTAATCACAGTAATTTCTCAACTTGTTCCATAACTTCTGCAATGTTTCTGATTCTTACTTAAAGCTGTATATGAATATGTCCACTCACTCTGTTGTCATATTTGAAGGTAAGTTGGAAGGGAATGAGATCACGTCTGCAGATACTGATTTTCTCTTCTGATGAAATGATAAATGGTAGTATACATTTGCAATATGGCCTTAACTGAGCTGTTGTGCCAGGTGTGAATACAATGGATAAATACTTTTTTCTCCCTCTTTCATAATGGTAGAACTTGGTCCTCTGAGGAAGCTGAATAGTAGCGAATTTAGCACAAGCAAAAGGAGCTACTTCTTCATACAGAGATTAATTGAACAATGGAATTTGTTACTGCAAAGTGTGATAATCACTAGAAATGGACACTTCTATTCCATGCCAGTTTTGCATATACTGTATTCAGTTATCTAAAAAAGGCAAAAATCTGTACTGTCCTTTTTTAATGGGAAATGGGCTTAAACTCACAAAATTATGTTTAAATAGTTTGCATTTTGCCATAAATTGTGCTGCTTTTGAGCTGAGAATTTAATTCACAGAAGAGGTCAGATTGTGTCTTGGTCTACGTATGCAAGTTACATTGGTCCACTTAAAAACTGCAGCCCAGACAAGATTCTTCAGCAACCCTATATACTGCTTCTAGGTTCAGATTACTAGATTACTAGCTCTAAATACCAGTTTCTGGGAAATGATAGTTACTACCCTCATGTCCTACTTGTAGATTTCCCAGAAGTTTCTGATTTACCACTGCGAGAAAGAAGATGCTGAACTAGAGAGGTTTTTTTTTAGATCCAGAGGTCTGCTCTTCTATTAAAAAGGGAGGGGCAAACCCCATGCATAACAGTAGAGGATTCCAGGCATCCAGTCTTACTTTTAAAATGTGTCAACATGCCAGATGTACACCCACCTGTGGATACCTGGTTGCTGAAACTGCGTTTGTAGCTACTTACAGGATGGTTCAAACACCATGTCGGCTAGTGGAACCCTAGTATCTCATTTACACCAGGTGTTGGATGTTGCTGTGGCTTGGGATTGTGTTTGTTACTGCTTTACATCCTTCAGTGGTGGATGGCCTTAATTATTTTTCTTTTCCTGTACTTGACATTTCCAGGTTCTATACCCGCTTAGACTGAAACAGGCTTAGCTAACTGAATTTCTTTCTTAATGCAGCCAAGACTTGATCATATAGTTTCCATGTCATTCATATTGATGCAGTTCTTCTTTTTAAGGTTGTAAAAACGGTTGGCCTACGGGAAGTCTGGTTTTTTGGACTGCAGTATGTGGACAGCAAAGGATACACAACTTGGTTGAAGCTGAATAAAAAGGTAGCATTGTATAATTTGTACTCCAGAGTATTCTTTTTGATTAAAAGACAGTAGGTATAGAGTGTTGAGTGTCTGGGGAATGTAGGGGGATGTCCTGGAAGACACCATGACTGCCTGTAATCACTGCAAACTTCTGTTGCAATTTCTCTCTGTTTAGTCTTGCTCTTGGCAAAAACTAAAATGAAAAACAAAACAAAATGTCATTGGAGTTTTAAATCTAATTATTTCCTTACCTTATATTGATGTGAAGCTGGTTTTGGTATAGAATTTTTGTCTTTTTAGTTCTTGGCAAATTTTTCAAAGCTATATAAGCAATAATTAGGAATTTGTTCAATATATTTAATGCACTTGGGAAGTTTGGTATACATAGTGCTTATTAGCTCAACAGCATTTGGCAACCAAAAGCAATTTCCCCCCTTTTTTTTCCTGCTAAATTTTTAAAAGTCTAGGGGTATAACTGGTACATCTCTGTGAATTTGGTTTACTGAAAATCAGACTTGCATTCCATCTGGTGTATACTGATAGCTCTTCAAAACTGCATTTGTATAATGAAAATTGGAGTGACACAAGAATACAATAAGGACTTTAAATAGTTTTGTGTAGCCTCTGAAAGCTGTCATGTTTTCCTAATTTAGAATTAATTATTTAGATGTCTGTGTGAATCACAAGTCCTTCAATGTTGTGTTTTCTAGAGTTGAATTACAGTATGTAACAACCAGTGACTAGATTGCTTTTCCAGATATTCTTATGCACTCTTTACTCTTCTAAAATTCCTTTTCAGGTCACACAGCAAGATGTAAGAAAGGAAAGTCCCCTTCAGTTCAAATTCAGGGCCAAGTTTTTTCCTGAAGATGTGTCTGAAGAGTTAATTCAGGAAATAACTCAGAGACTGTTTTTTCTGCAAGTCAAAGAAGCCATCTTAAATGATGAAATATACTGTCCACCAGAAACTGCTGTTCTGCTAGCTTCTTACGCTGTTCAGGCCAAGTATGGTGATTACAATAAGGAAATACATAAACTAGGATATTTGGCTAATGACAGACTTCTTCCGCAGCGGTAAGAAATCTCTGTGCTGCATCAATTCCTGCAAACTCAGTCAGTATAACATGTCAGTTTAATAGTAAAGCATGCCTAGTAGTCTAAGCAAACCAAGATATAGAGTATGTTCTTAAATCACAACAAGCCATGGTGTGCTGAAATATAACTTTTTTTCTCGAGTAAGATTTGACAAGGGAAGAGGAGAAAAACAAAAATATGAAAGAAGCCAGTTTTTGTTTAATTGCCTGCTGTGCAAGTTTGTTGGTAAAGCAACAACCCATGGTTAAGACAAATTGTGATTTAATGATGATGCGAAATGCACCAATACCCTGAGTTGGTGATTAAGCCATGATAGGACTGAATCATGATGTGTTCAGTGTTAAAATAAGGAAGTCTTTGAACGAGATAATATGTTTGGCGTGAGTGGTATATCTGAATAAGCAGTCCCTTTAGCCTTCAGTGCTTAACATTAAATTTAAAGATCTGGTAAAACTGATGTATTTTATAGCTCCAAATATTGTGGACATAGGGAATGTGAGCCCATCATAGTTCACATGTGAGCCCTTGTTGTTAACTGCACTGCTTAACATTTGAGAATATACACCTGACATTCTGGCAATTATTTTCTTCAAGAACAAATGAAAAATTAGCAATTAGTACTACTAGTAACACAAGTTAGGAGCAAGGGAATGTCAGTCCAGTTTTCAGGAGGCAAGTCCCATTCTGGTATTGTTACTTTAACTAACAGGTAATTATATTGTTCTTTTTATTCATCTTACTATATTCCGTTGCATTTCTGAGGGAAAGATACACAATCGAAGACTAGTCATATGGCTCAGCAGATATTTCTTTTAGCTACTGTATATGTCTATGTTTTGTTATTGTTGTTTGACTATGCTTTACCTGAGGTGGGATGTTCTGGTTTAAATAGTTCTAAGCCACACCAGATGCTTTAAATATCGTATTTGCTGGCGTACAAGATGACTTTTTTGCCCTGAAAAATATGCCTCCAAGTGGGGGGGTCGTCTTGTACGCCGGGTGCACTTCAACCCCAACAGCCCAGAGCGGGTATATCCGCGCACCCGACAGGCAGCCCGCGCGGGGACTTAAAGAGTACCGAACAGGAGGCGGCAGCTCACCTGGCAACGGATTCCCCTCCCCAAAAAAGTCACATGCTTGCTAGAACGGGAATAAGCCTTGAAGGGCCACCATGTCAATAGAGCGTGAAGCTGAACCCTTACCAGCCTTCATGTCTCCGAACGCCCCTCCAGCGGCTGACTCCAAAAGCCAGGGCACCACGTCCCTCTGCGGATCAAACCGGGTGCTCAACTGCACCAGCATCGCCCCCGCCCTTGGGCCACCCCTACTCCAATCCAGAAGAAGCTGGGAAGAGGGACCCTCCCAGGGAATTTATGGGGAAGCCACCCCAAGGCGATCCCACAGCCATGCAACGACTCCCAAGGCACGCTTGGGTTCTCTTGAGAAACAAGGAAGGAGCGCGCCAACATGGTCCCCTCCCTTCCCTGCCTGGTCAGCTGCTTTCACTTCAGCCCTGAGCCCAGTGAGCGGCCGCCGTTGGTATTGCCCGAACGAGGCTGGGAGCGTTGGCGATTTGACACGCCGTGTGTCACTCATCGGTGCTCGGCCTAGAGTGGCTGAGCGCCTTGCCACATAAACACAATGGAAGGTGGTGCATCTGAATGCAAAGTTTTTGCGTAAGCTTACGCGGTGGGGGAGGAGCCTTTCATGGCTCAAGTGAGGCTTAGGCGGTTCCAGAGATGTTTCTCTAAAGAGGGGTGGTTTGGGTTGTGTTCATACTTGGCTTCGGGGGGGGAGGTCCCCAGAGACACCTCCACAATCCCGTGCCACACTCCCTCCTTGCCCCTCTCCGTATGCTTGGTGCTCCCATCCGGCTGCTGCCCCTCACGTGGCGCCAAATGCCCAAAACAGGAGTAGCAGGCTCCGTATGCCACTCGCAAGAACGAAAGGGGCGCTGCCAAAGCTCCGCCCCACCCCTTGTCTCCTAGTGCCAGTCACAGGGAGATGCAGGGGCCAATCCAATCAGGCTTTGTATACAGCCAACAGCCAACCACAGTACTGCACTGTTGTACAGTACAGTACACCATAGAAAATGTCCAGCAGTCAAACCCCTATCAACCCTGTCATGGCACCAGCAAAAAGAAATATGATGCAAGTTTTAAACTTAAAAGTTGTAAATTTTGCCATGAACATAATAATTGTGCTGCTGCAAGACAATATGGAGTAACAGAAAAGATGGTTCGGGACTGGAAATCAAATGAAAAATCATTACAGAGTATGCTAAGGGGTAAATGTACGTTAAGAAGAGGCACCCACACTGGCCAGAACTCGAAAAACGTGTAGCAGACATGGTGGATCAGCATTGCCAAAACGGTTATGTGGTGACACGAAATACAATACGCTTGTTTGCACTTCAGTGGGCTAAATCTAACTCAGAATACAGCAACAATTTTAAGGCCACTATATCCTGGTATAGTAGATTCATGGCAAGGCATGATCTGGTACTAAGGCAAAAGACAAAAATTGACCAAAAATTACCTGCAGATCTGGTTAACAAAGTGGATAGTTTCCATCGATACGTAATACAGCAGCACACTAAACATGGCTATGCGTTAAATGATACTGGAAATAGAATTTTGATATGATTGGAAATAAAACTGTCCATCAAAAAGGTGAAAAAACTATTTTGATAAAAATAACAGGACATGAGAAGTCAAGTTTTACAGTGGTACTAGCATGCTGATGGCAACAAACTGAAACCTATGATTATTTTTAAAAGGAAAACAATGCCAAAACTCAAGTTCCCTGCTGTTGTTTTGTGCACGTGCATGAAAAAGGCTGGGTGGATGAGGAGGGTGTGAAACTATGGCTGGATAATGTATGGAGCAGACAACCAGGTGGTCTACTTCATAAACGTAGTCTACTTGTGTGGGATATGTTCAGGGCTCATACAACTCTCACCACCAAGGAAAGGCTTGCGAGAATAAAAACAGATGCAGCAGTTATTTCTGCAGGATTGACATCATTGGTACAGCCCCTGGATGTGTGCCTAAACAATCCGTTTAAAGATTGCATTCGAGAACAGTGGAATGAATGGATGGTTAGTGGCGAAAAGTCATACACAAAAGGAGGAAACATGCGTGCTCCGCAGTTGGATGTTTTGTGCCAATTTGTCATAAAAGCCTGGAATGATATTGATGCACAAACAGTAATCAAGTCTTTCAAGAAGTGTGCCATATCAAATTCATTAGATGGTAATGGAGGACGGGTACTTGTGGCAAGATGAAGAGGAAGCTGAACCTGATGCCACATCATCTGACACGGAATTACCGGTAGATCCATACGATGACTGCCTTGCAACTGTATCCCAAGACGTCATTGATGAACTTTTAAAATCAGATGACGAACAGGAATTTGAAGGCTTTTAAAAGGAGTTTGAAGGCTTTTAAAATTTGTTATCTTCTTTCTATCATTGATAATTCCAGTTTGGTTAACAGCTTAGAAAACAAACAGCATGTTTCCAGAGTCCCTCTGGGTTGTGGGCTGCCTGTCTGTGTTCCTGAGAAGCATCTACCCATCCATAGGGTCCACTTGGAGTGTTGCTTGCGCTGAGGAGGAGAGAACTTTCCGTTAACTGTTGGCCAGTGAAAAGGGTGCCTGTCTGCTTCCTCACTCCTCCCAGCGTTTAGAGAGTGGATTGGGAGACAGTCTTCGGACTGCCTGGTACTGTACTGCCTGGACTGTATTTTCCCTGCCTTCCCTGAACCTTTCTTGACCTAAGAAAAAAAGGAACAAAATATTCCCCCTCTAGTGGTCGAAGGCAGAATAGCACCTTCCCATTAGTTTCTATGGACGGAAAAGAGCAGATACGGATCAAATGGTTTTCAATGCATTCCTATGGGAAATGCAGATTTGACCTGAGAACTTTTTGACTTGAGAACCGCCTTCCAATACGGATTAAGTTCTCAAGTCAAGACCCCACTGTAGTCTTATACGGCGAATATATAAGGAACTCTATATTTTGAGTGGAAATGTTTGGGGGTCGTCTTCTATTCCCAGTCGTCTTATATGCCGGCAAATACGGTACAGTGAAAGAGTATAGGTAAACATAAGGAAGGTGGGATTTTCAAGATGGGCAGCAGAGCTTGGAGGCACAAGATAGATCAGATTTTTTTTACAGAAGAGGCTTTGTTTTTAATTATAATTCTCAAAGCTAGTGTCCTTTTAGACAACTTATGGATATTTATTGGAAGAGTAATTTCAAAAAGAAAACATTTGTTTCCTCCCCATTTATGAATTGTTTTCAAATTTATTATAGATTGTTACTGGGCTAGAAACGGTGTGAAAGCTTTTCAGACCAATTTAATGGTGTAGGGTTTACAAAAAACAGAAAAAGTCAGGATATATACTTTTTGTAATGATTGCTTATTTTGACAGTGTTTTGGAACAGCATAAATTGACAAAGGAGCAGTGGGAAGAAAGGATACAGAACTGGCATGAAGAACACAGGGGAATGCTAAGGTAAGTTATCCTGTATCGCTATGGTCCTCCTCACTTGAAAGTATCTTGTTTTTGCTTATTGCTGATCTCACCTGCAGACAAAAATAATTATTCCTTGTTGGCTGTAATGGAAACATGCCATATTGAGCCAGAGCCGTTGTACATAATTAGCTCCTGATTGTCTTAATTTTAAAAATTACTTTTTCCTACTGGCGCACAGAAATGGGAATGTAAAAGTAGATACAGTAGTTAGCAGTTTAATGAACTGTTATTGAGTCCAAAAGCCGAATTCTGTTGAGTTTAAGTTAGAAGGCTCAAATATTTAATTTTAACTTTAATCCTGTGCTACGGGATTTAAGCCACTGATTCCGAAGTTAATTCTAACAGTAGTCCAGAGGACTCAAATTCAGTTTCCTGAGGCAGCTATGCCACTTTTATGCAGTGCCTAGTCGGAAAAAAAAATTAGTTGATATGCCGCTGCCATTTCAACTAAGTGATTGCAAAAAGCATTACCAGGAGGAAAAAAAGTAGAAAACTCCCTGCCCCACTACTCATCCTTCTTTCTGAGCTTTGGGAAGAAGGAAACAGCTACATGAATGTTTGAAAAACCCCTTTCCCAGCCAGCCCACCAAAACCTTTATTTTATTTTCCCTTTCCACCTGCTATAATCCCATCACCTTTCCCTCTCCCTTTATAATTTACTGGCAGAAATCCTGTAGCATAGCATAACATTTGGAAGCAAATTTCTGTAAGCTAAGTCTCTGTAGACATTGTTTATTGCAAACTGACATGTGTGACTTGGCAGACAACAGGTAATGTCTATGGAAATTCTTATGCAGTTTGCCTCTAATTTACAGTATTTCCACAGGCATTGATTCCCAGTGGCACCCCAACAATAGTCCAGGGGATTTAAAATTCAGATTCCTGAGACAGATGTGCAGTTTTTATGCATTGTCTAGAACAGAACACAATAAGAACATCATATTGATGCAAAAAGAGAGAGAGAGAGAGAGCTAATTATATAATGAAGACTGCTAGGTTTGCAGTCATTCATTTAAAGTTCTGTACTCCCCGCAGGAACCAAGACACCACCTTCATTGTGGCTTACTTTCAGGAGAAGTGTTCATACACAATGTAAAGGCCTTGTGTACATTAATTTGGGAAGTGTGCCCCACTGAAATTGGTAGGATTTAATTCCAAATAAATATGCATGGGGTTGAGTTGGAATTCCCATTGAAGTCACTGCAAACATGTATATCGTTATGCGTTTTCTGTCCTTACATTTTCAGTAGAACATAATTGATGGAGGTATTTGCACGATTGAGACCACGACCGTGCCTGTCCTTTCAATAAAGAGAGACTTTCATTTTAACTGGTTTTAAACACTCTTCTCTTCATTATCAGGGAAGATTCTATGATGGAATACCTCAAAATTGCACAAGATTTGGAAATGTATGGAGTCAACTATTTTGAAATAAAGAACAAAAAGGGAACTGAGTTGTGGCTTGGTGTTGATGCTTTGGGGTTAAATATTTATGAACATGATGACAAGTAAGTAGTATTAAAACTGTTCCACTGTTTCTGAAGCATTTATGAGGAGGCCCTTTGTGTAAAAGCTTCTGTACATGTTTTAAAAATGCAGCTCCTTAGGAGAATTCAAAGTACAAAAATTAATCTGGAGGAGATTTTGTGGTTTTGTGGTTTTGCCTTTTTTGAAAGAAAGAAAATGAGTGAATTGACCAGCCTTTCTATCCCTAATTTTATTTTCCTCCCTAAAAAAAAAAAAGAACTATATGTTTATCTTCAATTAAGCCATTGATTGCAAAAATGTGATTAAAATCTCCAGATTTTAAAATGTAAAGAGGTTCAGCAAAGGTGGTACACTACATATTCTAATCATTAAATATCCTAAGTGGATTCAAGAACAACCAATAATGTGAGACATTATATGCTATATATACAGAGCAAGGAAAAATGGCTATATTTATATGCTATTTTAAAAGCAACATAAAAAAAGTTTAGACCTATCCCTAACTTTGTTTTTTTTTAAACAAACTGAGCATATATGTGTCTTTTTATTAAGGATTCTTTCTTCCTTACTAAAGGTTAACTCCCAAAATCGGCTTTCCTTGGAGTGAAATCAGAAATATTTCATTTAATGACAAAAAGTTTGTGATAAAGCCTATTGACAAAAAAGCTCCTGTAAGTAAATCTTATGTCAGCCTGAGAGTTGATATAGACACCTTTGTTACCTTTCCATCTCTGGTTCTTACCTCTGTCATTTCCTTTCTAAAATTATTTTGTCATATTTGTGTTAGTGGATGTTCTCAGTTACTTAAAAAGTTTCCAAAGCTAATCTTTTCCCAGTAGAGTTGGAACCAATTCCATGTCTCTGTTTTGTCTCCTCTGCTGTTGCCTGCCAACTAGATTTCTAAGATACACATTGATTTGTTAAAACAGTGAATAATGGGCAATTGAGAATAAACTGTAAGTTCCATTTGATTTTGAAATAATAGGAAAGAAGGGCTTGCTAGGTCTTGATTAAAGTCTTGCCCAGCATTCTGTTCTCAGGAGAATTTATTTTAATTTTATTTATTTTATTTATTTATTCTATTTATATCCCGCCTATCTGGTCAATATGACCACTCAGGGAGAAATGCCTCAGGGAGTACATAAGCAGGCATTGAAATGGTGGCCATCTTAAGTTTGTCTTCAGCTCCTAGTGCTTTTGACTTGCTTCTGAAAAGAGAATGTATGTTGTTTACCTGTTAATTGTGGTTTTTAGAAAAAGATTGTGTAGGTTCAGGGAGAAAAGGTCTGTTAACAGCTTATCAGTTCCATCATGGAGTAGTGAATGTCATTAGTTAGTGAGATAAATATGTATCCTGAATTAAATGCCAGACTAAGTTCTTATGTGATATGAGAGATAAAATGCCCTCCTCCCTTAATATATTAGTAGTTTTATAAAACTTATGCATGTTCTCCTTAAACTAAAAGGCCTGCAACCTTTTGTGCTTTTGTCATAAGCCCAATACTCCCATTTTCTTGATCTCATCTTAGTTGTCCCTTCCCAGATCCATGTTTCTTTTTGAATTAGGATCACAGAACTGCAGCTGTAAGCTATATTCTAAAATATAGCTACACTGTAAGATTAAGTCATTCATCATTTAATTTTTCACACAAAACATGCTTTTGCCCTGTTGCAGTATACTGCGTGGAGATTTTCTGTCATGACTGAAGATCTATTTCCTTTATAGTGAGGATGCAATTTAAATTATGCAGTGTATGTATGAGGTTTTCTTTTCTGTCTCCAGTGTATGTGGCTTTCCAAAACTCTTGATTTTCACCTGCCTTCCTTCTGCACATCCAAGATTTGTTTGGAGTTCTTCCCAGACGGGTTGGGATTTCATCATCCATAATAATTTAATATCCTCTGGAAACTCTGTTATGTCCCTGATCTCACTGTTAATGTCAAGTCATTTTGGATGCTAGTGGAAGTTTATTTAAATTTTAAAATGTTGGAATTTTGTATAATCAGCTTGAATATTTATGTTCTTTGTAAACCGATATGTTTCTAGAATATAAATAAAATTTTAGTAACTTATTTTTTTCCATTAGGATTTTGTGTTTTATGCACCACGTCTGAGAATCAATAAACGAATACTGGCACTGTGCATGGGAAACCATGAGCTATATATGAGGAGGAGAAAGCCAGATACAATTGAAGTTCAACAAATGAAGGCCCAAGCTAGGGAAGAAAAACATCAAAAACAGTTGGAAAGGTATGTTATTGACCGCCCATAAATATGGTATGGAAGTTGCTTGATGCTTGTTTGGGGCTTAATATCCCACAGACATATGAACTTGAGGCAGATCTAATGAGGAATTTTATGATTATCTTATATTTTGCCTTTGTGGGAAGAATTCTCAGAAAATAGTACTTGATCATCATTACTAAATCACTGGCAATAGTATATTAAAATAAATGTTACTTTGTGTTTTGTTATGTATATCTGTTACCATGCCACTGTTCCGTCTCACTCACCTTTCCCTCCCCACAAATGATAAAAGTGATAAAAATGGTTCTCTTGCATGGCTTGTACAATTCTTGGCAACAGCAGTTTGATCTATACAGAGAGGCGAGGGAAAGGAAATTTATTTAAGGTCCTGGGTTTTCTCTGGCCCTGGGTAGTTCTTACAAATGTTAGCGTGCTTTTTTAGCCTTGTGGCACAGAAGATTTGGTCCTCCAGGAAAGTGTTGTGAGAACACGCTACTTGCTCTAATCGAAATCTGCCAGAGACCATTTTTTAGGGGGTGGGGGAAGGATTTGTGGTACAACTATATACAAAATCCCAACAGCAACTTCAGTTGATCCTGTACTAGGAAAACAGAAAATGAATATTCAAGCTATCATTAGAGGCAGACCTCATGTAGGGGCCACTACAGTATTGCCAAGTGTATGTGTTAGTTTTGTTGCCAGTATTGCAGTAATCTCAGTAAAGGTAAGAAGGTTGTGGGGAAAATCACAGTTCAGCTTTACAGTATTGAATAAAATTATTTGGTGTTTCAGTTACTTTAGGGGATGTCTAATGTTGTGAATTGTTGAATTGTTCCCTTTACAGTAGTTCAGAGATATGCAATACTTAATAGATTGGAGCATTGTAGTTATTCTACTACTTCATGGGCCCATTTAGTAAGTTTGTGTTATCACTGCATTATGGTGGCCTAAAGTGTTTGTGTATTATTCTGTTTCTGTTCAGTTTCTCCAGTGACAAATCTTTTGAATTGAACCGTGGCTCTTTTAGTCCAGGAATGGGCATGGGGACATTTTTCTAACCCCAGGATATTCCAGGGACCACATCATTTGTGGTTTGAAAAATCTCATTTCCTGTTTGAAAGGTGATAACAGGGTTTTTTGCTTGAAGAATGCCAGTGGCAGACCTTATTTAAGAGGATAGTTGTGTCCCTGAAGGAACAGTTCTCCCATGGAGAAGCCAAAATTTTTAAAGTCTGGAAAAATTGAGGTGCTTAAGGGTACAACTTCCATTTGTAGACACTCAGGATTCTAAACTGCAGTGAGTAGTGGTGGACCATCACAGTATATAACATAGTGGCTTGCATTGTCAGGAGAAATGTGACATAAATGAGTAAATTGATTACCTCATGGACTCTCATTTAAAATGAACATGGCATCTTCCCCCGCTACATCTATTTCATTTAGGGCACAACTTGAGAATGAGAAAAAGAAAAGGGAAATAGCAGAAAAAGAGAAAGAAAGAATAGAACGTGAAAAAGATGAATTAATGGAACGGTTAAGACAAATTGAAGAACAGACAATGAAGGCCCAAAAAGGTGAGTCACTGCATTGCATTTATTTGTTTTGATAATAGAATCATAGAATTTATAAAGTTGGAAGAGACCCCAAGGGCCTTTGAATTTAAATCCCTGCTGAAGTAGGAAGTCCACTGCAGATGCAACCCTGACAGCTGGTTTTCCAAACTCTGTTTAAAAACCTCTTCATCGGGAAGAGTAAGCACTTAAAATGTGAAAGTTATTCTCTATTCTCTAATGAAAGTAAAAGGTTAGGTCAAAATAAAATCCTGTTGTGCAATGGTAACTACTCCATATGATTTTTGGGTAATCTAACCAGATAGATGGGGTAAAAAAACAATAAATAAATAAATATAAAATAAATAATAAATATCTTAATTTAAGTAATTTGACGTAGCTGGGCCTATGTGTGGTATGCTCTGTCTGGCTTGTTGTTGTTGTTTAGTCATTATGTCTTGTCCGACTCTTCGGGACCCCATGGACCAGAGCACGCCAGACCTTCCTGTCTTCCACTGCCTCCCGGAGTTGGGCCAAATTCATGTTGGTCGCTTCGGTGACACCGTCCAACCATCTCGTCCTCTGTCGTCCCCTTCTCCTCTTGCCTTCACACTTTCCCAACATCAGGGTCTTTTCCAGGGAGTCTTCTCTTCTCATGAAATGGCCAAAGTATTGGAGCCTCAGCTTCAGGATCTGTCCTTACAATGAACTCTCAGAGAGAGAGAGAGAGAGAGAGAGAGAGACTATTTGTGTATTTAGTCCAGGACCCAGAGCTCGGAAACCGCAGCTCCCTGGATCTCCATAACTAGTATGGCCAGTAGCCATGCTAAGTGGAAGATTCTGTGAGTTAGAGCCAAAAATAAGTACTTCAAGCTCTTCCTAGTACTGGCAATGCCTCTTCAATGTCTCAAGAAAATACCTCTTCCATCACCTGCCAGCTGGTAATGGCAGGGATTGAATCTGAAACCTCCTATATCCACAGCATATGGTCTGTTGTAGAGTGCTGTTCTCTACTGCTTTGAGTATGTGTGCCTGTGTCCTATTCCTCCATCACAGCTGCCTTGTGTGAATTGGCCTTCCTTTTGCTTTCATACATGGAGCTGTTGTTCTTTTCCCCAGTTGCTGGTGTTAATGGTTTTGATATGTATTAAAGTCTTTTGCATTCTTTGCAGCCATGTATGGTTTTGTTACCCCTAGATAATGAAAACTATTTTAAAAGATGTGTCTCTGCATCATTAGAAATGGCCAAGCCTTCCACCAGGAGGATAAGGAAGATAAAATATCAGAATATTCTTTTGTGTTGGAAAGCAGGCATTACATTATAATCTGAGCTCTCTGAGCTACAGTGCAGAACAGTCCTGGGAAGATTTTAGTTTATGACTCCAATCCAGATTTATTTCTGATCATTAGAAAGCAGTGTGAGACTCTTAATTTATGCAGTCTGTCACCTTAAAGCTGTTTTGACAACCTTGTACCCTTGACTTGTAACTTGATCTTGATGTAACACACTTCTAGGATGCTAATTTGTAGGGAGTGAAAACCTGGCCTTGTCTTTGCACTGTTTGGGGTCATCCTTTCTACATTTGTATACAGAATTGGAGGAGCAGACAAGAAAAGCTCTGGAACTGGATCAGGAACGAAAGAAAGCAAAGGAGGAAGCAGAGCGTCTGGAAAAGGAACGTAGAGCTGCAGAAGAGGCAAAAGCTGCTTTGGCAAAACAGGCTGCTGACCAGATGAAGAACCAGGAACAGCTAGTAAGAAATTGGCATCACCGCTAATGAGTCTTGAATTGATTGTATAATTTCATCAGAGAAATTGCTAAAACTGATGTATCCAGTGAGGAAACATAAGTAGCAAATGCAGATTTATAACATTGTGATGCCACTTAAGAGTTGTTATGCTTCACAGAAGTTATAATGCATAAAGCCAGAATCTTATTCGGGATTTATACTGGTGTGAGAATAATTGTGTATACTGCAGTGGACAGTTGCCACTGAGAAGTTGCAGCTCACATTCCTGATCTCATGCCATGTTGCACATCTAACAAGTGACCAGAAACACAATCGGCAGCTAGTTAATTAGCAGCAATTCATTGCTGCACTTTAAGAAATTACAATTACGCTGGAATAAATCCCCAGTAGGATTCTAGCACAATGTTAGGTATCTGAAATCACCACACAAGGTTATTGGTTCTTCTACAAGGCATACCATTAACTGATATAGCCATAAAAATGCATTCGTTTTTCGTAGGCGGCAGAACTTGCTGAATTTACTGCTAAGATTGCACTTTTGGAGGAGGCCAAGAAGAAGAAAGAAGAAGAAGCTTCAGAATGGCAACACAAAGTAATCTTTTTGAGCTGTGATTTGTGAACTACCTATGTAGCAGACACTAGAATTTTAAAATGTTGAAGAACGTATTTCCTCAAGTGGCTGCTAGTTTTTCTGAGTAGGAATCTGACTTAGTCATACTTAAGAACAGATTTATTGAAGTCAGTGAAACTTCACTAGATCTACTAATTCAATCAGGATCCAAATATTGTTCTTGTGGGAAATTATTTCTGGAATAAAATAGGGTCAACTGATTCAGTATTTTGGAGGAGACCATGTATGAATATTTTTGTATGTTGATATCCTCCAAATAACTGTTTCTATGTTTCTCCAATCTAATTGGGTGTCATGCCTCAGTCCTTTGAACATGCTGCTTTGTCAAGAGAGAGAGATTGCAGTCTCTATTAGCTGCTGCTGAGTTAGCATGTGGAAGACCTGGGTAGCAGGATTACTTCTGCTTACAAAATAAGGCTACAAGCAATGGTCTGCAAATGTGTTGGAAGCTTACGTGACATCAGCCCCATTTACTTCAACCTGATTAAAGTAGATACGTAGCACCTTTGACTTGCTTGTGATACATGAGTGTTAAGCAATCTTTATTACTACTTTTAGGCTTTTGCAGCCCAAGAAGATCTGGAGAAGACCAAAGAAGAACTGAAGACTGTGATGTCAGCTCCTCCCCCACCCCCTCCCCCACCTGTTGTCCCTGCCACAGAGAATGAGCATGATGAACAAGATGAGAATAATGCTGAAGCTAGTGCAGAATTGGCCTCCGATGGTGTTGAGAATCACAGGAGCGAAGAAGAGCGTGTAACAGAAACACAGAAGAATGAACGTGTTAAGAAACAACTCCAGGTATTGAACGATTTTAGGGGTATATAATATAGGTCACAGACACAGGAACTGTGGGGTGTTGCATATGATCTTCAGGAATGTCTCTTTCCACAGTAGTTACACTGTATCATAAAAAGCTTTTAAAATATCTTTCAGGGTTACTATCTAGCTATGGTGTATAGGTGGGGACATTCCTTTTGGACTTGCCCATCAAGTCATTCATTCATTCATTTGTTCAATTTATATCTGGCTACTAAGGCAACTCTGGGTGGTTCACAACAAAATAAATCACTATAACAGAATAAATAATAGCCACAAAACATAACAAGATAAAAACCAAATAAACATATCAGTCAATTAACTTTTAAAAAGCAACATAAAAACAATTAATTCATTAAAGTCAAAGCACAAGAATTAAACGTTAACAAGCAAGATGATGGAGTAGATAATTTAAGGGCTGAAAGAATGTCTGTACTCTATTGGTGCAAGTTCTGAAAAGTCTGAATGACCATCTTTTAAACAGTTTCTTAAAGACCTCCATTGAAGGGGCCAGGCGAATCTCAGGTGGGAGTTTATTCTATAGGTGAGGTGCGACCACGGAGGAGGCCTGGCTCCTGGTGTTCCCTTTCTGGGCCTCTCTCAAGGTCAGCAATCTCAACCACCCAGCTGCAGATGCTCAAGTGGGTTCATCCAGTTTAGCAGGTTGTGTCAATGGTGTATCTTGTTTTGCAGACATTGATTAGGTGGTTAAAAATTAAAATGTAATGGGAGAAAATATTAATTCAGTCTATCAGTTATGAAATTGAGTTGTTTTGGGACTAGAAATACTTGTTTGCAACATCACATTTTTATTTGTGGCAGAATGCTTAGCAAAATAATATATTCTTAAATTTACATGAAAATTTGTAAATGTTGCTTTTATTCTGTCTAAATACTAAGCACTAAATGGGTTAAGACTTGAAGAAAAAAAAGCTTCAGCTCAGATTTCATTTTCACTGAATCTCTTTGAGTGGACTCTGTTATTGAGCTTCCTTTTTAAAGGTCTTTAAGCCCTTTTAATAATGCATGTAAAGGCGCCAGTTACTTTGGAAAGGCATCAGAACCAATATGTGAGCTTCCTGGCAATGTTGTTGCATACATAAGTACTCTGTTGAAGTGTATGACTATCGGAAGCAGGTATACAGATTTATATAGCCGTTAGTTTAAATGCAATTCAGTGAGGTTCCTACCCATTTTTTCTCAACTCTGTCCCTCATGACATAGTTTTGCCGCTTCTCTGTATCACTTGAAGAAGTGGAATTGGAAAGCTGCAAGTGTTCAAAGAATTAATGTATACTGCTTTTTTGGTATATCTTTTACACAAGCATTTAGCCCAGATCTTACCAGGCCCAAAAACCTTAGCCTTCTTTAAAAAAAAGACTTCCACTCACCCACCCACCGACCTGAAAGCAAGGTAATCAGACATTGATACCCAGTTTCTGGGGGAAGTTGGAAGTTTTCCTCAAACCAGAGAGCTGTAAGCTCCACATGTGTTTGGTTCCAAGGTGCTGAGGGAGTCTGAAAACAGTCTTGGTGCCACATGTGGCTAACGACCTGCACTTCACCTATCCCAAAGTAAATCATAAGTGATTCTTCAAAAACAGTAAAATGTGAAAAATGGCTGTCATCACAGTCTTTCAACATACTGTTCACCACTTTCACAAATTTTTTTTGCTGGCTTTGGGCACTGATGTATTCATAAAAATCTAATAGCATCATTTGTAATCCATTTTTCTTAAGGCTTGTTTGCTTCTTTGTGCATATACTCCTTTGTTCTATACATAATCCCAGCCTGTTTGGTTGCAAGACTTCATGGCATAGATCGCATTGATTCCTTTTTAGCAAACTGAATTTTGAACATGGCTAGAAATGGCAGTACCTAAACTCCAAGGTCTCTTATTCAATAGGCCCTGAGTTCTGAGTTGGCACAAGCCCGAGATGAAACCAAGAAAACCCAGAATGATGTCCTTCATGCAGAGAATGTCAAAGCAGGCCGTGATAAATACAAGACTCTTCGACAGATCCGACAAGGCAATACAAAGCAGCGCATTGATGAATTTGAAGCAATGTGAGAGCTGTTACTTTGCGTATGTTCTTCATTAAGCTTGAACCACCAGCAGAGAAATACAGGCCTTTCCACATGTGAAAGGAACACACCCCACTTTGCCAAAGCACTTATACCAGTTTGTGGTTAAAACATAATTTCATGAAAGTCATTCAACAATAAGTCAGCCTGTCTGCTATGACTCTACGGGGTTGGTTGGTGGCAGCATCATCCATGATCTCATATCACATATTTTTATTCTTTGTCCTCTGAAAGACTAGCACAGTCTTCTTCTGACAAAGCTGTTAACCTAAGCATTGATCATTTGAGAGATCTCTAGCTCTGATGTTATAATAACTGACCACAGTTTTTGGCATGTGTGCACTTTGGAATGCTCTTTTCAGATAATGGATTTGCAAGAATTTTCAGGGCACCCCCCCCCCAAAAAAAATGGTGGAGTTCTTTGGTGTTTCATTTCCTGTCATCATTGATGGTTTTCTTTGCCCACCTGTTCACAAAGGTCTAGCAGGGAGCTGTTCCAGCACACTTTTTTTCCTCATGAAAATACTGGAACATTGCCTGTAATATTTGGCTTATAGATCTCTTTTACTGAAGTCTTTAATTTTTAAAAACAGATGGGAGGAAAAATTATATTCTTTTAGTTCTCCTCCCCTTGTATACTGTTAATTGGTGTACCTGGACCTTTCTGGCAAGGGAGCATATGAAAACATCAGTCCCAAGGAGGGGACATTATCCTACCTCATTACAATACACATGATGACTGGTCCTCCAAACACCATATTGAATTGCTAACTGTGTTAAGCTGGGTTGTCCATAGCTGAACACTACAGAAATCTAGGAGCCTTTACTCTAATATTTTATTCTATTACTGGTAGATCTATAATATTCGAATATTGTTCAGTTGTCTTTTTGTCAAGTAAAACTGCATCATGTATTTTACATTTTTAGCATATAATCTGTCACTAATATATCATTACATATACCACTAGTATATCCAGTGAGAGGGTGTGAACTGCTTTGATCATGGTTCCTGGATTCCTTTGAATTAAAGAATGCTACGGAGCTCATTTCTTAATAAAGTCTTTGCATAAAGTAAAGTCCTACACTCACTTTACGGCATATTTGGACATCATATTATCTCTGTTCCATTCCTGTTGACTCAGAAGATGCAAAGAAAGGAACAGCATTGATATGCTCTGACCTTTCAGAGAATCTGGTCACAGGAATTGTAGCAGAACAAGGACAAATGAATTGCCTGAACTTTCCACTTTTCAACTTTTCGTTGAAGTTCATCATAAACTCAATGGCTGAAATCCTCTTGTGCAGTTATGCAAATAGTGTGCTTTTTTAATGTAAACTTACACCAGTTAAGAAATGTCCATAGGTGTTATATTTTGTGTGGCTCAGCTTGCACCAGATAATGTCTACAGAAATTCTTAACTTCTGGCAATTCAGTCCCAAAAGTGATGCTCTTTGTGTAACTGGGCAACAGGATTTCAGCCAATGAATATTGAATTTCTGTTTAGAACTAATGTTGAATCACTCTTCTATAGCACTCTTTGGCATGACTAATCAAAACTGGGCACCTTGAGTTTAGAAGATCATGTTTATAGAAACAAAATGGGAATTATATACTGTTTTATATCTCTTTAATTAGCATTTGGGAGGGGAAAAAAAGCTCTGCTTTCTCTAAGGATGGTTTGCCTGTCTTCTGTTTGGTGTTACATATTCAAAATTTACACTTACCAAAATGGCCATTTTATTAAATTTCCATACACAAGATGCTTATGAATCATTTGGGGAAGTTTTTCCCCCCTGACTTTAAGGGAGGACATCATGAAAGGGAAAGATACACATCTACAGATTTATTTTTTGGATAAAGGTAGCTGGCTAACCTTGCCTAGACTGGGGTGCAAATGCTGTGCACGTGCTCAAAACACTGTTTGTTGCCCCAGGGCATTTCTGCTTCCAGATGCAGAAAATGGGGCAAACATCTTGCATGTTTTCATGCAGTCAATTATGAAACCTGTATTTCTTCCTGTTTTTTTTAAAGGGGGCATAGCAGTGGAATGCAGTGCACTGGTTTCCCCTGAAATATGCGCACATGCATCGACATGCTAGTCTATCAGTGTGAGGGGGTGGGTGAACACCAGTTAGATTTGCTGTTTGTAATCTACAGATTATAGATTAGTCTAAATGGATCAAATCCATATATAAAACTGTGTGACTTTTTCTAAGCAACCCGGAGTTAACATCTGTATCAAGGTTTTTCACCAGAAGTAAAGTGCTGATGATGATTGTCACCAGCTGTTGGGGAAACAGTACAGAGACATTATGAAAATACTTGATGAAGTTATTTTCTACATGTTTCCCCTCTTTTCCCCCCTACCCTCCTTAGCATAATGTTTTGTGTTGTAAAATTAAACTACAGTTAATAGCATCTATTATTTTGGGTAACATTCATTGGCTAACAATAAAGAAAGTACAGTTCATTTTTCTGAGGTCCACTGTTGTTATTTAATCCATCTTTCCCAAACAGGGTGGTCTGGATTTAGTTCTTTTGCCTAAGCCTGATGTTCTTAGAACCAGTGACTAAATGTCTTGAGGATGCATAAGTACAATCGTGTGACAGCCAGCCAGTTAAAGTTTAAGTGAAAACTCGGGGGAGGAAGCAGACTAACTTGCTCCCTGTGCTTGCCAAGGAGAAAAAGTAATTCTTCAAAAAGATGAATTATTGACAGAAACATGCTCTTAAAGATAAAGAGCTGATTCAGACCACAAGTGCTCATGTGGTAGAGTTTAGACTTTTTTCCTTGATGTGTTTCATGAATGACCTGAGGGGACCTGCACAGTGTTACTCCCATGCATGAATCTGCTTTAGGTTTTCAACATGGAGGTACATGGCTAGTAAAAGATTTCATGCCCAGTGCCACACATAGGCTTAAGATGACATTCCCTTACTGTAAATGCCATTGATTTCCTTAATTTAAAGGCAGTTTTGTTTTTCAACTCCAGAATGCCTAAAATAATTTCATGCACATAACACCAGTTTGTGCTCAGTTGTTCAGAGTTTTGAAATATAGATTATTCTCTAGTATTTGCAGTCAGATAAACATGTGGCACTCTCTATTCAACCAAAAGTGGCCTATCAGGATCCCTACTTAGTTCTGTTTTAGTACTGTCCTTACTTCTAAGGTGCTGTATTTAATTATTCTGGTTTCATGGCAATGTTAAGTCAAATCAGAGAGGAACACATGTTGTCTGGATTGTTGGATTTGGAGAAAAGTCCTGCTCAGTCATACCAATTTTTGCATGATCCTTTTATGAGATGTTGTTCTTCCAAGGTATGACTTGTGAGGGTAGTTAGGAATGTTTCAATATAACTGTCTGGAGATCTTCTAGAAGGTTGAAACATGAATACCAAGCAGGATATCAACCATACATACAGCAGGTAGTGTTTCTACCACTAGAGGTTTCAGCCTATGCTTTCAGGTCTATCAACTTGACTATGATGTGTATGTTTTGGGGAAAAACCCTCAAGTTCATTTTTTAAAAAAAGTTTCAGAAGACAAAGTCAGCCCATTATTCACATATGAAAAATACTGCAGTGAATCAGTTAAGGGGCACTTGAGATAATTCCTATAATACAGAAGGACTCTCTATGTAATGCAGAAGCACTCTGTAGAAGCACTAGCTTTCCCAGACAGTTTTTTGAAGAAAAATCTTGCCCTACATGATCTACAGGATATAGGTGTACAGCAGGAGCCCCATATCCACTGGCAATTGGTTCTAAGGCGCACCCCACGGATATTGAAAACTGTGAATAACAAACACTAGATAGATGGATAGCATGGTAAAAGGGGGAAAATAAACAAAATATTTTCACAGGCATTTACAGGATTGGCCACTAGAGAGTGCCAGAGACCATGCTATGTATTCTTCACTAACAAGTATTCACAGCACGGCCTCTGGTTCCCTCTAGTTGGCAGTTCAGGTAATACATGTTAACATAGTTTTTTTTCTTTCAATTTTTTGAGACTGTGGATAAGTGAAACAGGATATTGATTCTGAAAATGCAGGGGTGCTACTGTACATCTACTTTTTTGTGCAAAAACTTTGCAAGCTACTGCTTTAGCCTGGTGTGTTTTACGTTGCACAGTTTTACGTTGTCCAGGCCATCATACCCTAACCATAAAGAATAGGTCCTGCATATTTTGTCTAATATATCTTCTGTCTAATAGGTTCCCTCAGGGTACATGTTCTTCCATCTCCTGCAGTAGACAACAGTAGAATCTAAAGATATGGGTGATTTATGTGTTCTGTTCTGGGCTTCTGATGGTGTAGAACATTTGCCCCCAAGTAAGCATTCCTTACTTAGTAGGTAGTGCCTCTAAAGAGGAAGAGGGGGGAAAAGGAGGGCAGTACCAATTCCTGACCAGAAAAAGAGAAAGAAGCAAACCTCTCATACTGAAGAGTCCAATTTATTTTTATACAATTTCTTGAGTCTTTATTTTACTCAATGTGTTTTGAGTAGAACTCAACTTGGCCAGAAAGACAGGAGTCACATTTTGATACATGAATTCTTGGCATTTCACTAAAGCAAAGCATGATGCTTATATACTGCCCCACCTTGCCCATGGTGGGGGGACGTTGCTGCCATGTCACCCCCCCCACCCCCAGCAAGCTGGATACTCAATTTACTGAACCTGGAAGCCTGAGTAAACCTTGAGCTGGCTAACTGGGATTGAACCTGGGCAGACTGCAGCTTCACCTCTGTGTGAGGAGGCTTTTTCTAGCACTTTCTTCGCATTTGCTACTACTGAAGATGGTCAGAGCATAAGAGAAAAAACTAGAATGGGTTCTTCATTAGTGTACTGTATCCAGGAGTGATTTACTACTCCTGCTTGCTTCACTAGGCTGTCTCATCAAAAAAGACAGCTTTGTCTCTTCTGCTAACAGAATCCTGTTTCATGGTCACCTCTGGAGCACTTATTAATGTGGATGCATTTTAAAAAATAAAACGCCATATCAAAGAAATCATTTATCTGGAGTTAAAAGTTTATCCATGGGAATCATTGTAGTATCCGTAGATTCATTGAGCCTTCCCCTCCATCATTTGTGGAGTCATTCTGTACACCTTGGGGGGCAGCCCATAAAAGTATACCCCTCCTCCCAATGTGGCCCTGCAGATTTCTATTGAAAGTCCCAAAATTCCTCATCATTGGCTGTACTTAGGACTGGTGGGAGTTCTGGGGCAAGACATCTGGAAGGCCACAGCTGTACTCTCCTATCCTATAGACATACTCATCCATCTTCAGATACAACAGATTACTCCCTGTTTTGTGCTGCAGAGTGCTCACAAGTTCTGAGGCACTCAAAGCTCTGCTGGCATGAGCTAGGGAAGAGTGGTGTGTCCACTTCTTACTTCCTTCTTGCACTAGCTTATTTGATTGTATTCACAACCACCGCCATGAAATGGGAGGAAATTTATATTAGTGGCACAGATCAGAAGCCAGTTTGAGGCAGGTCTGAGAACAAAAGAGTTTCAAATTTATAGCTTGTCTTCCCATCCTGGCAGGGGGAAAAGTCCGAAAATTCTTATTGTTTCTGGAATACCATTGCACAGACCACAAAATTGCCGTCTGAAAAGAAACTAAAGCAAAAGAACAACGTAATTTCACTGCAAAGTGTGAGGCCGTTACCCTCACTTTTATTATTTAAAATGTTGAATTAATTTTTTCAAAAAAGTAAATAACATCAAAGCCAGCAGAGACTCAAATACTGCAGCTAAGGTGAGAAATCCTTTCCACACTCTGTAGGATTCAAAATCCTCTTTGGAACAGCACCACTTGTAGTTGGAAGGCTGGTGGGCCAGGAACAATAGTTTTTCACTCAAACTGGGTTTCTAAGCTTTGTTGGCACTCTGCCTCCACCCACATTGTTTGTTCCCCAAATTCAGTTTAATTTTAATGGAGTTTATAGAATCATAGAATCATGAAGTTGGAAGGGGCCTATAAGGCTATCAAGTCCGACCCCCTGCTCAATGCAAGATTACAAATCAAAGTTGAAGAGCAGCCCCTCTTTCAAGAGCCACAGACTTCAAATGTAAATAATGTAGCATTAAAGATAGATAATTGAACCTTCAATTTTACATTCATTGCACATGAGGCTTTAAATCAATGAGAGAGAGAGAAAATCTTACGACAGTGATTGTGTATCAGAGGTTAGACTGAAGCACAATGACTACAATTGGCATGGTTCAAGAGTGTTGAAATTGTCATGCTGTAGCGGCCCTTCACCAGCAACAACAAATATCCAAGATATGGTGTAGGGTGGAATTATTTAACAGCATGGAGAATGATTTAACACATTGCCAAATGATGACTACCATAATAATGGGCATAGGAACACAAAAAAATGTCCTACACCAGGCACCCAAGGTCAAAGAGACATAGCGAAGTGACATTTGAAGGTCTACAAAACTCATCCCATTTTAAATGATGATGTTGAATATTTAGAGAGTGTTAATTGCAAAGCAGAAAAAATTCATTTTATCATGTTACGTTGTCTAATAGCCAAGGAAAAGCAGGGAGAACCCTTGCTGGTCTATTTCTGTGCCTTGAGAAACAAGGAAAAAAAATTCTATCAAGCTTCCATAGGGTGTATAACTAGTGTATACACATCTATCTCACTTTCCCTTTTCTCTAGGCAGTGACAGTTCCTTAGAAATGTCCTGTGTAGCCTTGGGCATGCTGCACAATCCCAGAATGCCACCAGAAAGAGGGAGTGGTTAAACCACTTCTAAGCACTTTCTACCTGGGAAGGATTGCAATAAGTCAGAATCAACGTGCTTGCATATGATTATTAATTATATCACCATTATACAAGTAACATGACCAAAGTTTGAATGCTATGTATGGTTCTGATCACTACATCCAAAGGGTATTGTAGAGTTGGAAAGTACCTAGTAAAAAACCATTTCTTAACTATTTCAGTTAAGTATTAAGGTCACTATAATTAGTCCTGACTTGATGACATGTAACAAAAGAGTTGGAAAACAAGCAGAAAAGAACAGCAAACCATTCGAGGACTGGAGCAAACTTTTCTAAGGAAATATCACTGCCTAGAGAAAAGACATGTAAGGGAAAGTAAGATAGAAGTGTATAGTTATGCACCCTATGGACGCTTGATAGAATGTTTTTCCTTGCTCTTTAATAAAACACAGAGAGATGCACAGACACTGAATAGTGGGAGGATGAAGGCCAATAAAAAGAAGTGTTTGTTACACCATGCATGATTAAATGGTGGCATTCACAAAATCAAAGTGTATGGCAATAGCTACCAACATGGATGGCTTTAAAAAGGGTTGGGTAAATGTGTATGTTATGTGCCTTAAAGTTGCTTCCAACTCATTGTGACGCAATGCATTTCTGACCTTCAAAGCATCCTGTCCTTAACAGCCCTGCTCAAGGCTTGCAGGCTAATAAGTCATGGCGT